AACGTGCCACTACAAAATACTGCCACTTAATTCGGGAAGAGAATAAATTGAAAAGGATGGATTTCTGCAAAGATATGATTGCTCAAGGAGAAAAATTTCTTGACTGTATCTTTACAGATGAATCTACATTCCAACGTTTGTAATACGAATTTTGTAAAGATTTACGGATTCTAGATTTTAAATTTGCAGTTGGATGCTCTACCAGTTATTGCTACGTTGAAGCTGGTAAAGACATAAAGAGATTGCGGAGCCGAGCAAAGCATCCTGCGAAGCTCCACGTCTGGGGAGGTATATCAACCAGGGGTACAACTGATCTCGCGATTTTCAAAGGGACTGTGCGAATGGATTCGAAGCTTTATTGTGAGATTTTAGAGACTTGCTATCTCGACTTTTCCCAAAGGGCATTCAACGGTAAGTGAGTTTGTTTGCAACGCAGTCGCAATTTTAATAACTTAATCTACATCCAGGGTTTGCTAAGTTGGTGCAGGACAATGCGCCGGCCCATAAAAGTGCATACACCACGAGACGTCTCTCGCAGTGGAGCGTAAGAACCGTGGAATGGCCAGCAGAGTCCCCAGACCTGAACCCAATCGAACTTGTATGGGGAAGCATGAAAGCATACATCCGGTAATTAATACAGGATTATAAGCTGATGTGAAGTTTTGATCCAAACATTACAGCAGGCAACATCTCCGCACAACTGAAGAACTGGAAAATGCTATCCGTACGTACTGGAGTCAGCTTACACCGGAGATATGTCAGAAGTACATATCAGGAATTCAATGGAGGATGCCTTTAGTTGTCTCAGCACGCGGTGGAAATATAATTGAAAGAAATCCAAATAAGAAAGGAATACAAGTATCTGCAATAGAGGAGACCGACAGCGAGTCTGAAGAGGATGATAACTGGTTTTGAGATGATTATGTAAAACATATTATATTTTGATAAGATTTCTAATGTCATCATGCTTGTAATTACATGTGAATAAAGATTGTAACTTTAGTTTGATAGAACAGAGGTCTTTAATGGGAAAGGCAGAACACCAATGCATAGTGACCCTCATTATTGCTGCATATGTTATATAGAGAATATGAAATGCCTGAGGGACTGACAATTAGTACAATATCTAGGTCACCTAGTTCGAGTCTTTCTTTGAGCAATGTTTTGAAAAACTAGGTCATGCTTGGCAGAGGTCATGTTCAACTCAACGGGTATAAAATTGGCACGCTAAATCAGTAAAATTAACTCCATTTTGACAAAATGAGCGATCTTTATGCCGTCGTCTTTTTCCCCAGAAGCAAAACCTCGGACGTGGTTCACACAAAAAATGTGATAGGACATGTGGCAGTCGGGCAGCTTACGAAGGTATTATGGAACAATAAGGCCTATACGGCGAAGGTGAGTTCAAAACCAATAAAAAATATTTTTTTTGTGTGGTACCGATTGCTTCAAAAATTGCCATCCAGCTACAAAATTATATTTTCTGATTTTTAACTTAATTCCGCAATCCAAGACTTTTTGTATACAATTTTGACTTTTGAGGACGTTCGATAAGATGTTGTAGATGGCTTCGTTCTAGAAAAATACTCATAAACAAAAAACAACATCCGAGATCAAACAAGTGATGACT